GATAAAAAGTTTGGGAACCACTGGTGTAGACCACCTTCGCACCCTATACAGGGCCATCAAAGCCACAGCCACACCAACTGAACTAACAAGAAACCCCATAATTAAAAAAATAAATGAAAAACCTACTCATAAAAAGAAGACTGGTCCCACGTGAGTAGAGGAGGGAGGAGAAGACATAAAAAGTGCTACAGACCAGCTCCATTTATAGGTGGGCAAGTCAGCTTACCAATCAGAGCCTTTAAATAAAAAACGTTTTAACTTATAAGAAGTAACTAATTCTAAAAATTACAATATTTCCTCTAAAAAAAAACAAAGGAAAAAATACTCAACTATAAACAAAAACAATCTGGAGAAAAAAATGTGCTTGAAGCACGTTACAGTTCGTAAGCACAAAGAGCAGAACGGCTGACTCAGAATAATAAAAAAAAGAAAAAGCCTGGAGAAGTGGAACAGTTTACCACAGGAGGCTGAATAATGACTTGTTGCTACAGATGTAGGTCAGAAACTGCAGAATCTAAAACCTCATGAGCAGCGTCCTCGCACCAGAAAGGATTTTCAAAATAAAACGACACTTCTAAACTCAAAGTTCAGCTGCTTAGACTAAACCAGCTGAAGGTTCTGGTTTCATTACTTACGGTTCAGGAGCCCCAGCTGYAGCAGAGACGCCAGAGCCGTCACAATCATGAAGGCCAGCAGCCCCCCGCGGCGCCCCATCAGCCCCACGGCGGGGCAGAGGGCCAGGCAGGTGGCCACGGCGATGCCAGCCATGGTGTAGTAGTCGGCGCGGCACAGAGCCGTGGGCTGGGCCTCCGGGTCCATCATGCTGCGGGCGAAGCAGTGGTGGATCCCGTACCCCGTCAGGCTGCACAGAAACATGCGGGGATTAGGCGGGGCGAGGAGAACTAGAGCGACACGAACGTCCGCTTCGGCGGCGCTTACGAGTTGACGCACAGCACCACGATGTTCTTCCACAGGTTCCTGGTGCTCATCATCTTCACCACGCAGCTCCGCTGGGGCTTCCTGTGCATCTCCTGCTCCAGCTCTGCAGGGAAACACCAGGCTCTAATTAAACGCTGTGTGGTGGGACATTTTAGCTCAGAGAAGATGAAGTGCTGCGGCGCTCGGCTGCTGACACACAAGGTGTGAAACTCTCGCACCACAAGGGGGAGGAAGTGTTGGCGCCAAGGACCAGAGAGACAGAGGGAGAGAAGATCTTTAAGGGAAATTAGCACCAAATCATAAAAAGCAGCTCTGAGCTGAGTTTATATTGGTCCAGACCAGGGGTCACCAATACGGTGACCCCACCCGGTCACTCGCAGGACACCTTCTAAAAATAGCACTGATCGTCGGAGAGGCAGCGCTCTAAATGCTAAAAAAAGGAACCAAAACTCMCCCGTTAAACTCACATCTCCCGTTAAACACTCAAAAAATTCTCTCCTTTGAGTCCCKCTGAACTCCAAAAAATGGGCATATGTTTCAAGATTCTGCTTCCTTTCATTTCGTTTATTGTACAGCGGGTAAAATAAGTATTGAACACGTCACCATTTTTCTCAGTAAATATATTACTAGAGGTGCTAATG